TGTGCCTTGGCGGTCCATAAAATGCAAAAAAGCTTTCCAACAATTAAAACGAACATAAGAGACAGCGAGCAAGACACTAACTGTTTACGAACATAAAGAACCAACATGTATCCTAGATCCAATTCGTATCAAGCATCAATAAATATAGTTCGAGGCAAAGCTGAAAGAGTTTCTGGCGAAATCGACCAGTAATTCGGAATGCAATAATAAAATGAATTGGTAACATCTTCTCCTGACAGAGCTGAAAGATTTGCAACATCTTATCTAAGCGACATTCACGCAATGAAAACTGCCAATCAGAATTCGAAAAAAAAAAGCGGAGCTCACTTCAGTTGATGACGAAGAGTCATTTAACGACAATAAGAACTTCTTAACAGGACCAATATACCAATAATTTTTCTAAAGAACCTCTCAGTATATAGCAAAGAGCTCTTCCATTGCTTATCCACGATAGAATATGGGTCATCAAGGTTTTTTATCGGAGTGATGTATTTATATAATTTATACCTATTCATGAAGGTGGAAAACCAAAAACCTTCTAGGGTTATACCAGCCAACCGCTTTTACGTTTGCCATGTGTGATTTACTGAAGTGTCAGTCATAACTGACACGTATGATATATATCATCTGATATTATTACACCATGAAAACTTAACTGCAGTGGTCGATAAAAGAAAATATCTTGAATTTCATATCCCATTTTTCCTATGAAGGGAGTTTACAAATGTGAGTCAGGACTAGTTTGTTCCCTCTCCTGATGTAGATTTTGCTGGTTCTGCTGAAGAATTTCATTTGGAACAAAAATTTGAGAAAATCTTTTGGAAATGAATTTCAACTCTAGTAAAATGTTTTGTGAGGTGTTGCATTCTTCGGGTCACCTGAAAATTGAATTTTCAATTACGGATTCGTATTGTCCATTTTTTAAATTTATGGACAATATTCAAAGATGATGTCACATGAATATTTATGACCATTTTGAATCATTCCAATCAGGTCATCACCAGCAGAGAGTGAATATTTTAGAACGTCTACATGTGAATCACTTCTATTATCATTTTGGGTTTTTGAATTTCTCAAAAATGTTATTACATCCATACTCTGATCTTTAAGATGGTAAAATCTAGTGGAAAAACACAGGGAGCTGAATAAAGTTATTCAGTTATAAAAAATTGAGAATTTCAGACAAATTTAGTTAAAGTCTTGCTGAAAAGTCGTAACAATCAATCTTCATAACAACTTTTCTTCACATTGTCGCATAATACAGTATTTTGTCGAAAGCGTAGAATCAGGTGTATTCATATCGTTCTTTATGACTGGAATAATGGAGAGAAGGGTCGTTATTCTGTGATTATCCCCATTCGGCAGGTTTTACGGCATGAATATGAAGGGTTAATCTACCCTTTGTTGTTTAATTACCACTCGGTGCGTTGGTTATGAGCTTTCAATACATGTAGATGCTCCAAGAGGATATGCAGGAATGTTTGCATATTTCATCATAAAGTCTACTGGAGCGTGTAGGAGGTTGTATATATAGGAAATGGTTTTTTGTTCATTGTATAAATTTGATTATATCACTAACAATAACATTTTCTTTTTTACAAAAGCACGAATACATTTTGATTTCAACAATATACTTTACATACTGAACCGAATAACAATGGGCCACATTGATTTTAGTTTCAGAGGGTAAACATATTGATTATATTTTCAATTCAAGGGTTGATTAATCCTCAATTATGAAATTATATTAATAACCTCTGTTATTTCAATTTTGTGAACATTCGTTAACTATTCGTTGATGATGTTGAAGAATAGATTCAACTTTTGAAATGGGAAAAAAATTCAAAGAGTTCAAATGTGTTGATTTTGTGAGACACTCTATTGTTTTTATTTTGCGACCAATCCATTGATCAGGAAATGTTCCGTTCAAATTATGCACAGTGTAGGGTGTTGAAGGTAGGCCCAGGATGAGGGGTTCTTTTCGAGTCACCGCCACAACATGCGAGGGTTCATTGTGGGTGACAGCTATTCAAACTTGACCAAATGAATCCAACTTCCCATTCCATAACTTCATTTGGTAAGTGATATTTCATGTTAGCTGATAAGAGTGGGACTCTAAATGCTGGAAACCTGATCCGGCCTGCGTTGGGGCAGGCTACTCTGCTGTCATGATCTGAAGTTTTTCACAAAAATCAATCTACTTCAAGGTTTACAGAACCTGATACATTTTTGCAATTCTGCTCGTACCTCCGTCAATTAGGTGAGCAACACAAGGATGTGGCTTGGAAAGTGGGTCTCCTATAAAGCATTTCAGATAGATGCTCCTCTATGGCTGCAGGAAACAAACTACAACCTCTCGGCAGAAGACACTTTTCTGATGATCTCAGTAAACCTGTATCAATCCAGGTCAGAGTGTTCAGCTCCGGAATTGTACTCGTGAATCATCATTTGAAAAATTATCTTCGGTAGTCATGACAGCACACTGGAGAGATTGATTGGTGCTGATTGAGTTTTCCAGATACTCAAGGAGGCTACAATGACTACAGCAATCTTCGCATATGAGAACATGTTATACTTAACGATACATTAGATTTAGTAATGAAGTACATTTTTGGCTCTGGTTTTGGTGAATCATCTGTTGTACTGAGTACTTGCTCACCTATCCAGGCTCAGTTTGTTTTATTTGCCGATGCAGATTCTGTTTGTGCTGCTCAAAAATTTGGTATAAAGCAGATTCATAAAATATTCTGACACTCTGCTCTTATGGAGGCGATTAGTCTCTTTCTGACTGCACCACCTATCCTTCTAGCTTTGTTGACAGAATTAGGAGTACTGAGAAGCTTTTGCACTTGGTTTGATGTTACAGGCAGAAATGTTGTGGTCGTTTGGTCGATATCCATTTTTTCAATATAGACTCAAGACCAAATTCTTTCATTACATCATGATCCATTAAGAGATCCACGAGTAGTTTGGGACATGAGGTACATCACGGCAGAGCCCATTATTGCCATGATAAGGTTTTCTGCAATGAAAGGGCTTCCGGTATCTTCGAGGTTCCGTTATTGTCACTGAGTCAGCTCGGAGTCAAACATACTTTTCGCTCAGATACACTCAGGAGGCGTCATTTAGGAGAATTCCACTCCACCCGTTCATGAGTATCCTACTACCTTTTGATGCAAGGCTTATGCATTTTGATTTCAACAATATATCTTACATACCATAGGAGATATAGGATTGTTATTGAAATAACTTTGAGATTCCCAAGTTTTTGTTTTAAATGGGAAACACTTATGTTTCAGGCCATGAGTTGATTGACACTTCATTATGAAATTCGGAAGTGGATACATACTTTCACAACTTTTTCATTATTCGTTGAATGTGTTTCATTTCCTGACAAAAAACCTTCGAGGCACAAGTTTCGACTTGCGAGGGTTGTCGTGCGACAACTGGTTAATGGAAAAACAGATTTTTTTGTATGTTATCAATATGACTAACACCAATTTATTGATGCAACAATTATTTATTGAATGTGATATTGACCACAGATAATATGGCTCTGCATATGATGATTCAAATGACAGTGATCTGTAAGAAGGCCTGTAAGACATCGTAGTTCATCCCTACTGTAGTCTAATACTATTTGGTATCAAGCTCCGAAGGGTGAATAAATGCTTTGGAGTGAGCCAAATTGGAAGATTCTGCCAGAAGTCCATACATCTTCTTGCCATCCGGGTTTTTAATCTTTGTTTGGCAAAACCTGAATCGATGCCAATGACAGGTTCTGGTTCGATGAAGCTGCTTGCAGGACCCTCCTTTGCAAGGGAATCAGCAGCCTCATTGCTTTTCGAACCAGTATGGCCAGGATATCTGATATCTCTGTCCCGGGTCTGCGACTGAAAACACCTGCACCAGAACTGGAAGGTGTTTTTGATCCATCTGTGAACCAACAACTATCTGCTTTTGATATTTTCTCATCCCGGAGGATCCAGTTCTATCTACTCAGGAACATTACTTCATAGGGCAGTTCGTAGTTGACAGTTGGGGGTCATTTCCAGAATGCTGTGACTTCCAGTGTCAACCAACAGTCTGTTGCACTATGCATTGAATTGATTTGTGCAATTGACAATGTGCAAAAGTCTGTATGCAGTCCATCTAGCCTCTCTCTCCAGAAAAATGTGGAGAGGGGGTAGATCTAGAGGGATCTCCATGGCCGCTGAAGGTGTGGTACTGATGGCACCACTGATGGCCAGAGAAGCCTGTCTCTGTGAGCCAGAGAGCCTTCTCAAGATAGTCAATGAATGTTATATCACGCACGTCCCGAAGCCATATCCTTTCCAGCCGATTGTTTTGCTTTCGGATGCTTTAAATGAGGTTCACTAGTTGCTCTTCACTCAGATGACGTTTTTCATTCCGAAGTGAAGTAGTGGACCGATGTTTCATTCATTGTCACATATCGACGCAAAAATTCGGGTTTGTTATATTTAAACATGGGCAAACACTGCTCAGAATCATCAAGACATTTTTGTTTTTGGTCAACAGTGAGCTCGCGCGGCACCCACTTTGAACAGAGCTTTATTATAGTCAAATGCTCATGCAATATAAAGCCAACACGTTTTAATGACATCTTTACAATGTCAGTCAACTCAAGCAACTTCACTTTTCGATCATTCAAAACGATTTTGTGGATTTCTTTATGTTTTCTGGTATTACTGCTTCATTCGGACATCCACTGCGTTCTGCATCATCAGTGTCTCTACAACCACATTTGGAGTCAGCAAACCAATCACCCGAATATAGGACAAAATATACATAACATAAATTTATCTGAATCGCGGAAAATCAGAACCAGTATTTAAACCCTTGAGAAAGAGATTGTACAGTGAAAAATTTGTGTCGCCAAATATGACATATTTCAAAAGTTCAATCGATCAAAAAGTTCAAATGTCATTATTCGATTGAAATATCTATAGATTATACTGTACCCTTCATTAGGCGATTGTTTGGGACTTGTGGTCGTGGGTGTGAGGATCGTGCACTCCATACTCGAACTTATAATGGGCGTTGTCCTATAATACAATTTGTGATTCAATTATTGAAATAAGGTTACTGTGTGACAATATGGCAGTAAATATCAGATGTACAGGATAAACTACAGCTGATCATCTTTTGAGGTTGAACTTAACGTACTTCGAAATGAACTTGGTTCTTGATACCCTATATATTGTTTTTCTCAATTTTTTTCAGATCTCATGATTGTCAAATTATTGGAGAATCTGATGCAATAACTAATTTGGCCGCTATCCATTGTGAAGTTTGAATAATACTATTTAGTTAATTCGTTACGAGTAGAATAAATTTCAATATATGTGAGGGAGATATATTCGATATTTTTTTGGATACATCTTGTTGTTGATGTTATTATTGATTCTGAAGTATTTGGGGTTGAGTGAAAGGATATAGCGCTGAGTGGAAGAACTTTTCAGTCTTATCTACGAATGAAATGAACTTCATCCACCCTTTTCTCCTGTTTATGAGCTCACGGTCACATGAAGTGTACAATTCATGTAAGAAATGAAGGTGATTATCATTAGTATTATTATCATTTAACAATTTTTGAAAGCTAATATCTAATTTCATACTCACATGAGGAAAAGCTACAGCCACACCAATAACGATGGTTGCCAGAAAAATCTATGAAAACATTGTTATTGATGAAAACAATAATTTCTTGAATTTCTTCAAAAATATATCTGATTCCAATACTCACAGTTTTCATTGTTGATGGAGATATTAGTACTGATCGAACTGATTAGAACTGATGAAAATATGATTTGACACGACATTTCACACCCACGACCACAAGTCTCAGCACGAACACAGAGACGGGCATCATGCCACCGGGGGATACACCCTCAAGGAGGCAGATGGTACCCACCGTATTGTGAAATACAAATCTGGACCCCATACCGGTTTCGAAGCAGTCGTTGAGAGAGTTGGACACGCCCAACATCCAGCCCATTACGGACATGGACACGGTCATGGTCATGGAGGAGTTGGAGGAACCAGCTACGTTGGAGTCACCCACTGGGCTAACCAGGGCAGTGATGGTCATGAACATTGAGAGATAGGATTGATGTTTCTGCTTTCTGTTACTGGACCGAATACATTTTTACATTAATACTAGATTTTTGTTTCAATTTGATAGACGATATTTTTTGTTGTTAACCTATCAATGATTTGGAACTCAAGAGACAATTAGATAATATGAGTGGAAGCTGTATAATGACCTGACTGTAAGCGACATCATAACATAACTTCTTAGAAAGTTTTTCTCCGTTTGTATGATCTCATTCTCGAATCATATAAGATATATAGACGGATTGACATCTATTCTCAGTTTACTGGTTTCTCCCCATTGGGTATTGTTATTATCCCGCCAATACTGGCAGGTACACAACTAAGCCTAAGATCAAGTTGGAGGGATAACACGCGTCTTGTATCCAATGTTAAGGTGCATTACAGGGCGGTCAAAAGGCCTTTCATATAGCTGCCATATCAGAACGTATCCATATTCCTTTTAGTCAAGGCCTGTTGACCATCGAACATTAAAAAGTAACTAATTAGGTGAGCGAGAAGCATGTCAAAAAACCTTCAGTTTCGTGAGAAATCTTCCCGCTCATTCCAACAACCTCCGCGTCTTGTAATAATGCTTATTCAGAATAGACACTCAAATTAGATACTTCAGCCCTAGTGCAATTCGAAGCTTTCAGCAGACATCTTCGACAGCCTGAACTGCACAACCCGTTATCCCCGGATGATGTTTGGAAAACCCTTTATAAGTTTCAACAACTTCGCTGCTCCAGGCCCACATAGGATGTACATTTATTGGTGGAAAAAACTTCCTATCATCCACTGCCACCTGGTCATAGTTTTTAACTTATGGCTGGACGGAGAGCAACCGATTCTGGATTGGTTTTTCGAAGAACGGGCCGTTCTTTTTCCGAAAAAATCTAAATTTGTCGATTTCTAAGAATCACAGACCGATAACATGCTTAAATTCATGTTATGAGTTGTTTAAGAGAATATTATATACGCGAGTACTCACCGCAGTTGACCATGTAGTCTCTTCCACGGTTGTACAACAGGAGATCGTGGCCTTTAGAGTTTGGATTGTGTCTGCATATCTGAATGGTACTGGCTGGAGTCTTTAAAGTCATCAGAAGTTCGGATGTTCTGAGAGCAGCAATTGGAGAATTTCTTTTTACTGCAGCTGATAAATCATCGAGGTAACCACGTCTCTGTCAGCGAGTTGGAATCTATTCAGCAAAAGACACACATGAAAACTTGGGGAATGGAAAGTGCCGAATTTTTCAAAACTATGTGATTTCCACCATCAGGCACATACAATCTTATAAGCCAGATATTGTTCTTCTCGATCATACGATATTCGTCGTGGAGTTCTCAGCTCCTGGTGAGACGAATATCGTCCGAAAAGAGAAATGAAAACGAATGGAATATCTGGATTTTCTCTTCGAGCAGAATCTATCCAGATCACTCTGTTAAGATGGTTGTTCTGATTATATTGAAGTCCTTGTTGGAATGATGCCCTACCCACTCTCAAATCTTAAGATCATACTGGATTGCCGCATGATAGCAGAAATCGTGGCCAGATAAATGCAGAAGGCTGTCATTTTTGGCTCATTGCGTCTGCTCAGGGCACGTGATTCTCGGACCCAATGATCACTTACCCCACGATGTGAGGAGTGGTATGCGCTGGTCAGGGACTGACCAACGCATACTACGGTATTAAATATAATAATAATTATAATGATAATGATGCTTATTCTGAATTAATCTCAAAGAAACATACACTTGTATGAAGTTTTTCATTATGATTTTCATATTTTTCGGATTGTGGAAGGTAAAAATACCCAAAAAAAGGTCGATAAAAAACTGATTTTTTTCCACAAAAAATGACTTTCATTGAATATCAAAACCTTTCTTTCCCAAAAACTAATATCTCCCAAAAATTTGTATTTCAGCAAGCAAATTCAATTCAGCTTTGGAAGTAATTCAGAGATTCGCATAAGAAATAATATTAATGAAATGTAGAGTTTGTTGTATTCTGTTGTTTTTTCGAGTCCAAATTGCTCGAGAGAGAGAGTACCTGATGTTTATCAAAGAATTGTACAGTCAGTTATGCGGATATTAGTTGAACATTTTACTTGAATAACTTTTTTTATTGCAAATCAGGATATCTGTAGTATTACTGAAGTTTGAATATTCTATTCAATGAGTCAACTGATGTGAAACTCATGTATATTCTGACGGAGTGCAATATTTCAGTTGCTAGGGTAGGGACTGAGTTAAACATACGGTATAGAGTCAATAACTTACAAATTCTGAAAGTGTCGTTGCTCGAGTCAAACCTATGAAAAATTGCTTCATCGTACTGGTACGAAATAGGTATTCATGAAAGGGGACCATCCATAAATTACGTCACACGAATTCCATGATTTTTGACGCCCCCTTCCCCATTCTTGTCACAGTCGGTGAAATCACCTTCTCCCTAGTGTGACGTCACGTATTTTACAATTTCACATCTACAAATAATAACTGAATTACAACAGTTCCGAAATTTGTTTTACATCAACATGAAATCAACATATCAAAAAATTAACGAAACGAAAAACAATTATTGATACAGGGCTATTCAAATTCGTTTCTGTACATGGGATCTCGTAAACGATAAGAGATAGAGTGTCGGTTGAATTGTGGCATAATTGCGTATTCCAGAGACCTACTCAATGGTGTGAACAAATAGAAAATCTTGGTTCTGGAGATATACAGGAAAAACCAAACAATCCCAAATACTTTTTTTGCCTATATCTTCTTTATTCACTGACATATTGGCACTTGATGTGGGCTATCAGAATATGTCCATGAATTTTTTATACTGGGTGTCATCTGACTTGGGCCAACCCCATCTTTGAATTTTTAAATACAAACCTGTATTTTTTGTTGTATTTTTTGTATCGTCGNATGACACCCTATATAAAAGATTCATGGACATATTCTTATAGCCCACATCAAGTGCCAATAGCAAAATGTTGACAGATTTCCAATATGTCTGCGAATGAAGAAGATATAGGCAAAAAATAATTTGGGATTTTTTGGTTTATCCTGTATCTCTAGAACCAAAAAAAGCTATATTCGATTTTTTTACATCATTGAATAGGTCTTTAAAATACGCAACTTTGCCACAATTTAACCGACACTTTATCTCTTTACGAGATCTCCATTTACAGAAACGAAGTTGAATACCCCTATATTAATTGAAGATCAAACAACTCAACCATCTCCAGTCCAGAGACTTTGAACCTATTCTTTCAAATCATTCATAACTGTAATTTTTTTTTTCAGGAAAAAATAAAAGTACTTCAGAAAAATCAGTAAGGCGCTCTAAGAGCGGTGCCTGTGCGGAAGTAGCGATTCACATTGGATTTGAATCGCTGGAGATTAAATCCATTTAGAAAAATGTTCTCAGAAAGTTTATTCCACACGCAGTGGAACCGATGAGCAGCCACAGTCCGTAGGGTATTTCTGATATGCACCGCTCTTGGTGGAATAAAATGTGCCAAGTCACTTCTTGTAAATTTATCTATAGAAGAGGGACAAATCCCAAACATTTCTTCGATGTTCAAGACTATCTAGGATGCAAGTGATGTTCGCGTCAGACGGATGCTTTTTTCTGGATAAAATCCAGCAGCTTCAAAGTCTGCTTAGGGGCGAAGCTCCATACATGAAATCAATACTTCAAAGAAGGTCTGATCTGAGCTTTATGAAGCATCAAAAGTTGCTGAGGTGTATACAGTTTTCTGATTCGGAACAGTGTTTTACGTTTTTTGAGAAGCAGCCGATCAACCAGAGACATAATTGGGCCAAGATATGTTCCATATTACCTCCAACAAACCTATCGAAGCTGCCAGTTCGTTCACGTTTGGGTTGTTGTCCATTCAACTTCACAGCATCATCGTCATCATCGAAACAAAAAATGTCTCTGGCACGTCTAGCAGCATTTCCGCGAGGAGGAATCTTCGCGATGGCAAAACTTCTTGTTGTTTCTTATGTAATTGCTCGTGTTGATTATTAGCATTGTTTGATGCAGAATATAGTCCACATATGCCACATGCTCGCTTAAACAAGTATGCCCCGACAGTTGGGCAATAGTTATCAAATGAAACTTGCTTCAAATGTGAATTCCACTAGTTCGGACTTCCATTGTCTAATATAGCAAGGAAGAGAAGCCGCCACAACCAGTGCTTGCACTTCCCTACATCAGAGGATTATCGGAGACGATAAGCAAAATTGGTACAACATCAGAACCTGCTTCAGTAATGCAGAAGTGAGGTGATCTCTGCGGCTTTTATATGAGCCATTTGCTGAACGGGTTCCAACGTGACACAGTTGTGATCACCTCGTACAGTGTCGAAAACTAAGCCAAGTTCATGAACTGCTCTAGCAGCTGCCCTGTAGAGAAATGCTGTGCTCCCTGCTTTGACTCGCCACTGCTACACATAATTCTTGGACTCAATGATCACTTACTTCACGATGTGAGGATGAAAAATTGGTTGATAATGCTGGTGCGTCTTCCTGAATGTGTCGAAGCTTCGAAGAAAACGCCATACCAGCACATCCTTCGGCGATAATAATGATAATTGACTTTATTCTTCACTACAGATACAGGACATCTTATTTGTATATTCATTCGCTGGAGACGTTATAATACTTCACAAAAGAGATTGAATCCCAAAATAAAATACAAAGTCGCCTCAGCAAAGATCTTGGTCATAAAAATAGAGTAAGCTGGTCGTAGAAGACAAGGCGTTACAATCAGGAAAATTTTCAGGGAACTGAAAGTATTGGGTCTGAATACCTATATGTTTCGAATTAGCCTTTTGAAAATCAAGTCACGAAGCTCCAATAATAACTTCGAAGAACTAGGCGCATACCATATGAATATAACCTGTGAAGTTCACACACAAAACTAGTTGAAGCCTGGTAATGGCGGGATGATAACAATACCCAACGAGGAGAAACCCTCAAATTGAAGATAGTGGAAAAAGTTCGAATCCGCTCAAATATCTCATGAGGTTTTAGGATGAAATCACACAAATGAAGAAATACTGATTTCAAGAAGTCATGATGCCGCTTTCACTCGGGTCATTATTAAGCTGAAATACGTGTAAGTCTTTGATGGAGCAAAACAAGAGACTGAAGTGTGAGAAGAGAAAAGTTTGCGTTGCAAAAAAAACAAATATGTGGCGCCTGAATGGTCTTTATGAAATGAAGCATCGATTCATCAACAGAAATTCAATCATCATCCTAATACGATTGTAACTCCATTCAAAGTTCTTCTATTGTTTCTTTATTTCATTGAATATCTTCATCCCGGATAATTCAGTGTTTGTTTCTTCCACTTTCAAGTTCCAAATTATCAATAGGTTAACATTTACTGGTCAATTGTGTTCAAACCTCTGACAACAAGAAATATCGTCTATCAAATTGAAACAAAAATCAAGTAATAATGTAAAGATTTATTCGATCCAGTAACAGGAAGCAGAAACATCAACCGTACCCCTCAATGTTCATGACCATCGCTGCCCTGGTTAGCCCAGTGGGTGACTCCAACGTAGCTGGTTCCTCCAACTCCTCCATGACCATGACCGTGTCCATGTCCGTAATGGGCTGGATGTTGGGCGTGCCCAACTCTCTCAACAACTGCTTCGAAACCGGTATGGGGTCCAGATTTGTATTTCACAATACGGTGGGTACCATCTGCCTCCTTGAGGGTGTATCCCCCGGTAGCATGGTGTCCGTCTCGGTGTTCGTGCTGGGACTTGTGGTCGTGGGTGTGAGGATCGTGCACTCCATACTCGAACTTATAATGGGCGTTGTCCTATAATACAATTTGTGATTCAATTATTGAAGTTAGGTTACAATTATATAGAAGAAATATATCAGAAGTACAAGATAAACTACAGCTGCTCATCTTTTGAGTTTCAACTTAACGTACTTCGAAATGGCCTTGGTTCTTGGTTCGATTATATATTGTTTTCTTCAATTTTTTTTAGATCTCATAAATGTTAAATTATTGGAGAATCAGATGCAACAATTAGGTTGGCCGATATCGATTGTGAAGTTTGAATAAGTTCGTTACGAGAAGTATAGATTTCAATGTATGTGAAGAAGATATATTCAATATTTTGTTGTTGGTTCTTTGTAGTCTCAAGTTCATCTATACATTTGATCATTTCATTTTGAATGATTTGAATACTGTTTTGATATAGCTCTTCAAACCGAATTTGAATATTGAATTGTGGAATATATTTGAGAGAAATAAAATGATTTCAGATCATTCAAATGTAGAAAATTGAATTGAAATAAACCCTTTCATCGGGAATGATATTTTCTTTGATTACTGTTATTGTCATTGATAAAATTCTATAAAATTTCATGAAAAGTAATCCATGATTCGAAATGGGGGTGATGAATCATCAAAAGTTAGTTTAAAATAGTCAGAGTAGTCTGTCTCCACAATTATATTGTGGGGTCATCTTCACAATTATTCGTGTAGACAACTTGTTGTGGATGTTATTATTGATTCTAAAGTATTTGAGGTTGAGTAGAAAACCTTGGGGTTGAGTGGAAGAATATAGTGCTGAGTGGAAAAACATTTCAGTGAAGGTCTTATTTACAAATGAAATGAACTTCACCACTTTTCTCCTGTTTATGAGCTCATGGTCACATGAAGTATACACTTCATGTGAGAAATGAAGGTGATTATTATTAGTATTATTATCATTCATCAATTGTTGAAAGCTAATATCTAGTTTCATACTCACATGAGGAAAAGCTACAGCCACACCAATAACGATGGTTGCCAGAAGAATCTATGAAAACATTGTTATTGATGAAAACAATAATTTCTTGAATTTTTTCAAAAATATGTCTGATTCCAATACTCACAGTTTTCATTGTTGATNGGAGATTTGTCGATTCCTAAGAATCACAGACCGATAACATGCTTAAATTCATGTTATGAGTTGTTTAAGAGAATATTATATACGCGAGTACTCACCGCAGTTGACCATATAGTCTCTTCCAGGGTTGTACAACAGGAGATCGTGGCCTTTAGAGTTTGGATTGTGTCTGCATATCTGAATGGTACTTTACGGAAGGAGAACATATTTTACTAGTTATTGTCGAATATTGAATAATAATTCAAGCGAATTATTTTTCGTAATATTGATATTGCATTGCAAAATTCTGATTTGCCTTGATACAGTGAAGTCGATAATTAAGTCTTTCATGGACTTTTCACAATTGAAGAAAAAAAGTATAAATGAACTCTTTACAGAAAAAAATCAAGTAATAGTTACTGACAAATACTTTGAATTCAGAAGGAAACTTATCGGATTCAACTGTATCGAAACAAATCAGAATTTTTCAATTCAATATAAATATTTCGACTGAATTATTATTCAATATTCGGCAAAAACCAGTAGAATATGTTTATGATTTCTCATTCCGTAATTTGCGAGTATGTGTATTCAATAGACCAAAACTTCAATACGCAACCAGCTTGCAAAGTATGCAATATTGTTTCTTCATGAGTGTTTGAGTAATCAATATTAAGATAAATTCACTAGTATATAAATGACGTGTCAAATCGTATTTTCATCAGTTCTAATCAGTTCGATCAGTACTAATATCTCTATCAATAATGAAAACCGTGAGTATTGGAATCAGACATTTTTTGAAAAAATTTAGGAAATTACTGTTTTCATCAATTGCATTGGTATTTTAGATTTTCCTGGCAACCATCGTCATTGGTGTGGCTGTAGCTTTACCTCATGTGAGTATTTTAATGATAATAATAATGATCGCCTTTATTTCTCATATGAATTGTACACTTCATATTTATGACCATGAGCTCATAAACAGGGAAAAAGGGCGGAGTTCATTCAATTTGGTGACAAGAACTTCACTAAAGTGTTCATCCATTCAACCTCATGTTCTTACAGTCAACCCCAAATATTTCAGAATCAATAATAACAATAACAACATGGTTTATCCACATATAATTGTGGATACGACTGTTGCTGATGCATCACCTCCCCTTAGAATCATGGATTTTATAGAATTGTCAAGAATGTGTATTGATGACATTTACAGTAATCAAAGAATTGATTATTTTCAATAATAGGTTTTATTCAATTTGATTAATGATGCGAAATTTTTATCAGAGCACACTCTTCCGATGATTTGCCTTCAGAAAACTAATTTACTGAACCACAAATACACTAACTTTCCAAGTACTCATGTTTCTTCAAGATTCGGACGAACAACAAAATATAGAAAAGTTGCTATCTATGCTTCAAGTAACCTAGAAACACAACTCCTTTCGTCGAGAAATGATTTGGTAGGAAAAGTTGGAAATTATCTATGTAAAATATACATCCCACCGAATATCAGCCTATGTTGAAGAAATAAAAAATCTCGTACCCCTATGATAGTGATCACTTTCCAATAATCATAAAGAGCAGCACAACATCCTAACATTTAAATTCAACCGTCTGCTGGCCATCAGACATCAGCATAGAAAAAATGGCTGGACTCGATGCAATATGCCTTCAACGACTATCCATCAGTGAGTTAACAGAAAAAATCAACACATTTAGTAACTCGATCCTTCGATATATTCAAGGAAAAACAAGACACATTAGAAAGCGAATACATGTGCCTTGATGGTCCCTAAAATGCAAAAAATCTCTCCAACAATCAAAACGGACATCAGAGACAGCGAGCAAGACACTAACTGTTTACAAACCAAAAAGAACAAACATGTATCCTAGATCCAATTCGTATCGAGCATCAATAAACATAGTCCGAGGCAAAGCTGAAAGAGTTTCTGGTGAAATCGACCAGTTTTTCGGAATGCAATAATAAAATGAATTGGTAACATCTTCTAATGACAGAGCTAAAAGATTTGCAACATCTTATCTAAGCGACATTCACGCAATGTAAACTACCAATCAGAATTTGAAAAAAAAAGTGTAGCTCACTTCAGTTGATGAAGATGAGGACTCCAAAATGAATGCTGCAATCTCAATACACGAACTTGAAGAGTTATTTAACGACAATAAGAACTTCTCAACAGGACCCATATACCAATAATTTTTCTAAAGAACCTCCCAGTATATAGCAAAGAGCTCTTCCATTGCTTATCCACGATAGAATATGGGTCATCAAGGTTTTTTATCGGAGTGATGTATTTATATAATTTATACCTATTCATGAAGGTGGAAAACCAAAAACCTTCTAGGGTTATACCAGCCAACCGCTTTTACGTTTGCCATGTGTGATTTACTGAAGTGTCAGTCATAACTGACACGTATGATATATATCATCTGATATTATTACACCATGAAAACTTAACTGCAGTGGTCGATAAAAGAAAATATCTTGAATTTCATATCCCATTTTTCCTATGAAGGGAGTTTACAAATGTGAGTCAGGACTAGTTTGTTCCCTCTCCTGATGTAGATTTTGCTGGTTCTGCTGAAGAATTTCATTTGGAACAAAAATTTGAGAAAATCTTTTGGAAATGAATTTCAACTCTAGTAAAATGTTTTGTGAGGTGTTGCATTCTTCGGGTCACCTGAAAATTGAATTTTCAATTACGGATTCGTATTGTCCATTTTTTAAATTTATGGACAATATTCAAAGATGATGTCACATGAATATTTATGACCATTTTGAATCATTCCAATCANACCTCTCGGCAGAAGACACTTTTCTGATGATCTCAGGAAACCTGTATCAATCCAGGTCAGAGTGTTCAGCTCCGGAATTGTACTCGTGAATCATCATTTGAAAAAGTCTCTTTGGTAGTCATGACAGCACACTGGAGAGATTGATTGGTGGTGATTGAGTTTTCCAGATACTCAAGTAGGCTACAATGACTACAGCAATCTTCGCATATGAGAACATGTTATACTTAACGATACATTAGATTTAGCAATGTAGTACATTTTTGGCTCTGGTTTTGGTAAATCATCGGTTGTGCTGAGTACTTGCTCACCTATCCAGGCTCAGTTTGTTTTATTTGCCCACGCTGATTCTGTTTCTGCTGCTCGAAATTTTGGTACAAAACAGATTCATGAAATATTCCGATACTCTGCTCTTATGGAGGTGATTAGTCTCTTTCTGACTGCACCACCTATCCTTCTAGCTTTGTTGACGAAGTACTGAGAAGCTTCTGCACTTGGTTTGATGTTACAGGCAGAAATTTTGTGGTCGTTTGGACGATATCCATTTTTTCTATATAGACTCAAGTCCAAATTCTTCCGTTACATCCTGATCCATTAAGAGTTCCACTAGTAGTTAGGAACATGAGGTACATCACGGCAGAGCCCAGTATTGCCATGATAAGGTTTTCTTCAATAAAAGGGCTTTCGATATCTTCGAGGTTCCGTTATTGTCACTGAGTCAGCTCGGAGTCAAACATTCTTTTCGCTCAGATACACTCAGGAGGCGTCATTTAGGAGAATTCCACTCCACCCGTTCAGGAGTATCCTACTACCTTTTGATGCAAGGCTTTATGCATTTTGAATTCAACAATATATCTCACATACCATAAGAGATATAGGATTGTTATTGAAATAACTCTGAGATTCTCAAGTTTTTGTTTCAAATGGGAAACACTTATATTTCAGGCCATGAGTTGATTGATACTTCATTATGAAATTCGAAAGTTGATACATACTTCCACAACTTTTTCATTATTCGTTGAATGTGTTTCATTTCCTGACAAAAAAACCTTCAAGGCACAAGTTTCGACTTGCGAGGGTTGTTGTTCGTAGGGGTGCGACAGCTGGTTGATGGAAAAACAGATTTTTTTTGTATGTTATCAATATGACTAACGCCAATTTATTGATGCAACAATTATTTATTGAATGTGACATTGACCACAGATAATATGGCTCTGCATATGATGATTCAAATGACAGTGATCTGTAAGAAGGCCTGTTAGACATCGTAGTTCATCCCTACTGTAGTCTAACACTGTTTGGTATCACGCTCCGAAGGGTGAATGAACGCTTTGGAGTGAGCCAAATTGGAAGATTCTGCCAGAAGTCCATACATCTTCTTGCCATCCGGGTTTATAATCTTTGTTTGGCAAAGCCTGAATCGATGCCAATGACAGGTTCTGGATCGATGAAGCTGCTTGCAGGACCCTCCTTTGCAAGGGAATCAGCAGCCTCATTGCTTTTCGAACCCGTATGGCCAGGAATCTAGACCAGAGACAATCTGTTGAATCTTCTTATCGAGAAAAGTCGTTTTCGGCAATTTGCTACCAATTTAGCCGTTGCTTGGTAGGAGTCAAGAGCTTTCAATGCCGCCTGACCGTCCGAGAATATTTTTATTGACCCGTGTATGAGGTTGGATTCTTCCAATCTTCTCGCACACAATTCTATAGCGTTGATTTCCGCTTGAAATACAGTCACATAAGTTCCTAGACAGGTTGATATCTCTGTCCTGGGTCTGCGACTGAAAACACCTGCACCAGAACTGGAAGGTGTTTTTGATCCATCTGTGAACCAACAACTATCTGCTTTTGATATTTCCTTATCCCGGAGGATCCAGTTCTTTCTACTCGGGAACAGTACTTCATAGGGCAGTTCGTAGTTGACAGTTGGCATGAAGGCATGGAGTCAGAGGTCATTTCCAGAATGCTGTGTGACTTCCAGTGTCAACCAACAGTCTGTTGCACTCTGCATTGAATTGATTTGTGCAATTGACAATGTGCAAAAGTCTGTATGCAGTCCAGCTAGCCTCTCTCTCCAGAAAAATTTGGAGAGGGGGTAGATCTAGAGGGATCACCATG